AAACGTATGTTCCTCCAATATATTATTATTGCGACTTTTAATATAAATACTCGATTATGCAATGCATACATGTGTAATATAGATGTAATCGCTTCTTTTTTGAAATATCAACATTGGTATAATATTCCGTACAAATAGTACATATACTACGAAATAGTTTTAATACTTTTTTTTTGAGATGGAGGACGCCGATACTGCGAGAATAGGATTGCCGAACGGTTTCGATAATTGGTCTTTTTTCGGCGTTTTTGACGGACATGCTGGAGATTATGTGGGGTTAGGTTTTTTGAGTAAACTAACAAAACGATCCTTTTCACATTTATGGACAGTAACTGGAACCGACAGTAACTGAAACAGTCTTTACGCCATGCAGCGTTAATTCGGGGGGGGGGGTATATTAATATATTTGTGTTCTGCCCGACGGATTTCTTTTGAAATCAGTTGTTTTTAATTTCATTTCAAAAGAAATCCGTCTGGCAGAACACGAATATATGAATATACCCCCCAATTAACGTTATAGTTACGCCACTGGCAATACGATACTATGGCTATATCTACAATAGCTTAATTTTTAATCATTGTCAATTTTTCATTCCACTATTGCCCTTGTAAATTTAATAAGAAGATAACCTACTTGTAAACTCTTTCCTTAACAACTGCACTTGAAGCAGCCGCTGGAAATGCTACCCGTTTTTCTCCCAGGCCATTTCGGAGAAGGGTTAACTTTTCCCTCGTAGATGGTGTCGACTCACTATGTTTTTCTGCCAAGCAGAATAATGTTTTTGTAACAGATCTTTCTATATCAAAAGATGTTTGACTTGAATTAATGAATTACTTCAAAAATAAAAATCATGTCCGCATCAAAGGCTTCATATCAGATATAGATTACTTAACTGCACCGCTTGTGTATGTGGTTGTACCAAAAATTAAATATTAGGAAAAGAATTAATATTAAAAGGTTTAATGCTCTTTACATGGTCACATTTTCAATGCTAACCTAAAGCAGGCGTCTGAAGCACACGCTTCTTGGATTGGACGACATATGTTTGTTTAGTCAATGCCGCCCAGTATTAAAAGATAAATTTTCATAATATTGCCTCAAATTTTCATTTTCAACACAAACGTGTGATTTCTGTAACAATTGCTTGTTCGGAATACACAAATGTAATCCCAATCCCCACCCGAATCCAACCTAAATCTAACTGTAAATCAAACCCTGAATCTAACTCTGATTAAGCGCTACATTTTTTCATTTGAAACATTCGATATAGGCATAAGTATTAATTTAGCAACTAAGACATTCGACTCCCCTGTGTAGAAAGAGGCATAGGGAGACATAACCTACCCTTTGCTGCCCTTCTTCCATTTGATGATCTGTAGGGTTGAAGTCTCTATTAAAAATGAAACTGCCTGTGTTAAATCTAATACAATTCACAATATGCCTATGTTAAACCTAAATGGTTACTTTGCAAAATAAATAATTTATTATATAAATTTTACAATGTCTTAGACATACAAAAAACACTTACAGACTGCCTTGTAAACAATCTTCTATGTTCAGCAACAGCAGGCATTGTGTTTGAACTAAGCTGCCTTCCTGATGGAAGGTGATGATATATTAAAGGCTGCCTTGACATAGAAGAGTGATTAGAAGTAGACAGATGATTAGAAGTGGAAGGGTGATCAGAAGTAGAAGGATGGTTAGAAGCAGAAGGATGATTAGAAGTGGAAGTATGATTAGAAGTGGATGGATGATTAGGAGTGGATGGGTGATTAGAAGTGGAAGGATGATTAGAAGTGGAAGGATGATTAGAAGTGAATGGGTGATTAGAAGTGGATGGGTGATTAGAAGTGGAAGGGTGATTAGAAGTGGAAGGGTGATTAGAGGTGGAATGGTGATTAGAGAAGAAAGGGTGATTGGGAGTTGTCGGTTGATCATAGGTTGAGGGCTGATTTGGGGTTGAGGGTTGATTCAAAGTTGACAGGTGAGTATTGAGTTGACCAATCAATTGCCTAAGCACACTATTCACATGGTTGTTGTTGTTGTTGGTGGTGGTGGTGTTGTTGTTATTGCTCTGTAACAAAATTTTAAATATTAGATGGATTTCCTGCACATCAATCAACCTTAGGCTTCCCATGGAAGGTGATGATATGATTAATATTAACTTACCATTATGTATACTTTACAAGAAAACTTGATTGCAATTCTAAAAAAATAATTTGACTATTAAAAATACCTTCATGCAGTGACATACCTTTTTACTATATGCTATTTGTATTAAGGCTTTTGCATATCTTACTAAAAATAACCCGGTCCGCAATCCGCGTTTCCCCGTAACCGTAAATTGTACCGTGTGGCGTGGCGAATAAATATTTTAAAAACGTTTCGCCTACGGGTAAAGTGCTGCTCTTATTATTTACATAATGTCAAGCATTCTGCGTGAACTACATACTAGTATGTTCAAAATATCGATGATATTTAATATTTATTCAATAATTTTATATACTAAACTCTGTGGAGTGGTAAAAGCTCGATCAGTCGAGCGTGCACTTTATACATAAATTACTTACTGATGGACAATATAACTCAACGAAATTACAATCAAAACTAGTTGTGAACTAAACTCATTAACATGATAATAAATCTTAGGCATTAATATGTAAAAATAACGAAAATATACGTACTTTTCTTCTAATAACTTGGATGTGAATACGTTGCTTTGTTGTTGCAAAAATTCCCGCTTTTTTGCACTGGAAACGTCATGTTCTATTTATGAAATACGTGACCACGTGCGTTAAGCTATTTGACAAAACATGCTATTTGACAAAACATGCCATTTGACAAAACATGCCATTTGACAAAACATGCTATTTGACAAAACATGCCATTTGACAAAACATGCCATTTGACAAAACATGCTATTTGACAAAACATGCCATTTGACAAAACATGCCATTTGACAAAACATGCTATTTGACAAAACATGCCATTTGACAAAACATGCCATTTGACAAAACATGCTATTTGACAAAACATGCCATTTGACAAAACATGCCATTTGACAAAACATGCCATTTGACAAAACATGCTATTTGACAAAACATGCCATTTGACAAAACATGCCATTTGACAAAACATGCTATTTGACAAAACATGCCATTTGACAAAACATGCTATTTCATTCAACAAAGACATATGCGATTGCGCGTTTTGTTATACCATGTGTCTTTAACATATACCATTTAGACACGCGAGGACATACGGTTTGACTTTTACACATTCCATTTCAAGTTTACATATGTCGTTTTAAGTTTACATATGTCGTTTCACGATTACATATGCCGTTTCACGATTACATTATTTTTGGTGGTAACGGCCGCCCATAGTATGACAACCACTTGTGGGGCGGATTTTGATTCGAAGGAGTATTTTTTTGAGTCTGGGAGGGTTAACATAACATACTATTTCTAGTTATATATGTGAGTCATTCTAATTTATATATAGTGTTCATTGCATGGGCTTTCTTTTTTACACAGTTAGTATGTACAATAGATTTTTCATATTTGTAATTATTCTAACGGCCCCTTGAAAAGCAGTTTAATCTGAAGGGCTACCGTTTTTAAATAAGATTAATAATAATAATAATAATAATAATATATATATATATATATATATGCAATTTCAAATCTGTTCAATTTTTTATATACAAACCTGTAGAAGCGCCAACATACATACTTCATTTTGTCCCCGACATTACTCCATACGCTGTACTCAGGAATTTATCGAGTTGCTGTACTCAACCACAAGTTTATTTGTGTTCCTAGGCAACCAATAGGGTAAATTTTATATATATATAAACATATATATATATGTGTATATATATATATATATATATATATATATATATATATATATATATATATATATATATATATATATATATATATATATATATATTTCATATTATACACTATATATACTATATATATATATATATATATATATATACAATCAAAGTGAGTATATATATATATATATATATATATATATATATATATATATATATATATATATATATATATATATATATATATATATATATATACTAATAGCTGTTTTGGAAATTGAGAGAAATTTCAAATCTGTTCAATTTTTTATATACAAACCTGTAGAAGCGCCAAAATACATACTTCATTTTGTCCCCGACATTACTCCATGCGCTGTACTCAGGAATTTATCGAGTCGCTGTACTCAACCACAAGTTCATTTGTGTTCCTAGGTAACCAATAGCGTAAATTTTATTATTTGGACCTAACCAGGAGCCGCTGTGAAAAATGCAACTATATAATTTTATACCCTTTGGCAAGAATCGAGCCTGCGGCCCTGCGATTCAGGTGCAGCGCTCTAACCAACTGAGCTACCGATTCCAACTTTGTCCAGCTATATGAACCACTAGTTCATGATTCTATGATAAGGTTCTAGGGTAAATATCAGGAATTTTTGGTTCACGATCTCCCTGGGTCGAACTAATTGCAGATTGAAATTTTGTAAATAAAAAGTTCGACCAATTTATACATCCATTTATACGTAACTGGTTCCCATGACGTACCTGGTATATGTTATTTACCCGCTAGGAGGTCCGTATTCAAAAATATTTTCCCGAGGTCTTTGCTAAAACGACACCATAAAAAGGCTTTACTTTTGGTGCATTGGATGCTTTTCTACTCATTAAAACAATAACAAGGTAAGCTATTTATTTTATTATGGTTTTAGGCTATTAACCTGTTTCAAAACTATTCTTTCGAGACGCAGCAACAAATTGTACTTGCCACCAACAATGACAGCATTCATAATAAAAAAATAATTTTATGACTGAAGTGAGTCTAGAAATCTCAGTGAAATAAACAGTTAAGAAAATAACAGTGCGGTTGCGGTTAGGTCGCGGTTAGGTTGAGGTTAGGTCGCGGTTAAGTCGAGGTTATAGGTCGAGGTTAGGTTGAGGTTAGGTTGAGGTTCGGTCGCGGTCAGGTTGAGGTTAGGTTGAGGTTAGGTCGAGTTTGACCGATTTAAACCGCAAATTATAAATGTTTTACTAATGCCGTAATGGAAAATTGGCAATACCTTGACTGCATGTGCAGAAGTGGCGGGTACATGAGTTTATAAACTGTAACTATAGGTCTTCAAAAGATGTGAGCGGATCTCGGATTGTAAACTCTTCAAAAATGCTGTTTTTAAACGAAAATAAGCCTGTAATTAAGGTGGCTCCCTACAGTTCTCTAAAATTCTAGGTATTTTGAGTATCGTTCGCTTTGAACCGAATTTATATTAGATACACTTAAGAAGAGGCAATATGATCATTTCCAGGAAAGTTCAGAAGCTGTGTGCTGCCATTTATGAACAAATTAAAACAGTGTTTGTGTTGCCATGGAAACCATGACGTTTAATCTTTTGCACTTTTATTGTCTAATTTCACAATAAATGGACAATATCTATATTTTCCTTCGGTGAATTTTTCTGAAACTTTTTTTGAAGATTTATGGTCCATAAAGGAAAAACATCAAAATTTGAAGGAAATTTATAAATAAGTTTTCGAGATATTCGTGAATGACGGTTACAGAAAAAGTTATTTGTAGAATTTCTTAAAATTTGGATATGTTGTACCACTCGTCTTGTATAACAAAAATACAAAGTTTAAAAAAATTTCACCGAAGAAAACACGAGAAAATCATCGCTAAATTTGGCGTGGCCAGCATGAAAAAAAATCGACTCGACATGAGCACGATCTGCGCATGCGTGTAAATTGTAGCGTGTGATTTATTGTGATTTCAACTTTTTGGCATACAATACACAAGAAAACAGATATTTCTGACTTGTTTGATATGAAAATAAAATATTAATCTTGAAAATACTAATAAAAAACACTATTATAGGCATTGTATTAAATCCAGTGTTAGTTTACATTTGTTTTTGTTTTTAAAATCGGTGTGAAAACTTTTCAAAACATCGAACTACAAGTTTAACTTTTCATATAAAACAACTCATAACTGTTTTATTTGATTTAGAAGATAAAACGATACCTGTGAATTGAATTGATTGACAGAACTTATATAAGTTTCGGCAACAGTTCACTACTGTTCAAGAGTTAATAGAAGACAGTATCATTTCAATTTGACAGCTCACAAAACAACAAGTTGAAAATTTTGAGCAATATGAAAGACAATACTGAACGTAAATACGTAAAAACACACTAAAAGATAGGTTAAACTAATTAATAACATACGTACTGTTCGAATTCAGAAAAAATAGGATTATAATGAAAAACTAGGGCTTTCTTTGTAGATAAAAACGCCAAAAAACTTCCCACGGCTTGTTTCAATATTTTTGCCGAACAGTAAACACGACGATTCCACTCGCAGGTCGCGAGGATGAAGTCTGATCTATATAAATCGTATTTAAACTGTACTAACTGTAGGGAGCCACCTTAAACCTTTCAATAAACCGGAACATAATTAAGCTCCGTGAAATAAATTAGTAAACATAATTGAAAGTCACTACCTCTATATATTACGTATATATTATACTGTAGATATAGATATAGGATTTTCGTGATTTGCCAATCGTAATTAAACTGCTATTAAATGTAGAGAAAATGGCGGAATTATATTCGATATTGTATTCGATATAGGCCTGCGGTAGTAAATCCGGCTAAAGCGCAGTGATTTTAATTCTAGCAATCTGATAATTCCGATTTTACTAATCTCTAGTTTTGTAGCGAAAAACATATATATACATGCACGCGGTAGTAATTAGTCTATTAAAGAGTAATTAAAGGTCAGTGATTTTGATTCTATACTTTTATACAAGACTATGGTAATCTGGTTCTACCATCAAATACCATGCAATTAGATCACTCATGTAGTTGCCGTGTAGCTGCATGAAGACATTCTATGACTGAGTCATACAGACTACTGGGTAGTAGATCTAAAAGCGCATTGATTTTCATTTTAGCAAGCATTATTAATTCCACCGTTCAAATATATTACATTCAGTCGCGCGCTGCCACTGGATGATTGGAAAACGTTTATGGAAAAACATTGGACTTGATTTATAGTTATATAGACAAACATTACACAAATATAAACGTTTAGTCAAATGAAAAATGCGCGATAATAATGACTGACAGTAACAATGGGTTTGAATATCAGGTATGCTAATGTATAAGTGTCAGAGCTTGAGCATCTGATGAGTCATCGACTTCGCGTTTTCCAGCCAATTTATATGTTTCACTAAGCCTCAGTCAAATATATATGCCTTTAATAAACGAAAATCAGTTTTAATCTTAAGGACAGAACCTGTTAGTAACATACAGTATATTTATAAATACCAGCCGAATTCCGTGATTTGCCAATCGGTAAACTGCTATTAGAGGCTGAAATAATACATTCGATACCGTATTCGTTACGCGGTAATAAATGTAAAGCGCATGCAGTGACTTGAATTCTAGTTTACTAATCTGAAATTTTCGATACTACTAATCTTTAGTTTTGTAGCGAAAAACAAAAAGACGCTAACACGTGGTAGTAAATAGTATAGTAATCTGGTGCTGCCAAGTACCAATTAGATTACTGTAGTTGCTGTGTATAGCGGAAAACATTCTATAGATATACGATAATGAGCCATACGACTATTCGGTAGTAAATCTAAAGGCACATTAATTTTGATATTAGAAAGCCGATTGTTAATTCCACATTTCAAATATATTACACTCAGTCGCGTGCTGCCACAGGATGATTATAATTATATGACATAAGTAGTTTAAATGTCGAAAAAAAGCATGCATTTTATTAAAATACTCAGTATCATAACGGTAATACCCATCTACGACTCTTAATTTTATCCATCTATGTTTATGTCCCATGTAACCGCACAACTCATTATATGGAATTATTATATGGACCTTTTTCCAAGATCCAAACACGCGATCTGCAGTGGACTGATTTCGTTGACGAACAAGGTTATATAGGCTACTCACTACATTATCGCTACAAATTCGTAAATGCGCCTCATTGGCCATATGATTAGTTAAGGTGTATGAATTATGATCGTTTCATATCCGCCAAATTGCAATCTCGTCGTTTGGTCACGATGCTCAAGCTTGGTTGTTACGTATCCATATCGAAAGCATCGAATTTTCATTTTCAAAGTTTGACATACTCTCGCTAATAGTTTATGGAAAAACATTGGACAAAAGGTTCTCTCCTGATTTATAGTCATATAGAGAAACACTACACAAATATAAACGGTTATTCATAATAATGACTAACCGTAACAATGGGTTTGAATATCAAACATGGTAATTTTCAGTGTCAGAGTCTAAGTATCTGATGAGTCATCGACATCGCGTTTTCAGCCAATTTATGTTTCACTCAGTCTCAGCCAAATATGTTTTTATAAAACGAAAACGAGTTTAAAGGTAATTGGATTGCACGTTGAAACACAAAATAATAATGACTTTATATGTGTAATTGAAAAGTTTTCCTCAATAAAAATTAAATTTTACTGTTGCTACTACCAAAATAAATTTTCATTGACATTGACAAACAGTATTGTAATGCATGTGCGGCCAACATTATATACTGCTGCATATATGCTAAATAAAAACGGCAACACTTTTCTTAATAATATCGCAGTATTTCTTTTTCTCAAATTTTTGTCGACTCGGTTTTCCAAAGCCGTTGCTACGTGTTGCGTTAATGTCTGTTTGGGAATTTCCGCCGACAGGCACGACACGCGTCTTACACTCATCGCTTTTCAAAACAGCAAAATAGCGGGCAAAAGCAGTCAATACAATATGTCTATACATTCATTATAAACGTCGGGAATATTTCGAATATAAAAGAACTGTTGCAGGAGGTATTTCACTCGTGAATAGCAAATCGTATACTCTTGCTACAGTGACGAGCAAGGATCTACAGTTGAAGTCGAATTCAATGGTTTGGACTATGACGGCTCTATAGTTTTGAAGCTCCATGGTAAGTGCTGTTGTTGTAGCCGCTAATCTGAAAACTTTTATGTCTTCCCCTTCTAAATATACAGGTTAATTAATAACTCTCTCTCTCCAGCATACGCGGACAATTTCGAGTCGGCATTTTAAAACGTAAATTTGTCTCGAAATTTGTAATGGTCTGATAACTTCGGAAAATTAAAATTGAAAGACGCTTAGATGCGAAAATTGGGAAACGATAGTTAATTTCCGATTACGGGCAAACAAATTGCGGTGCTGTCTCGGCAATGGTCGACTGCGGTTTTTGTTTAAACGCGTTCAAACCTTACTCAACTTGGATTAAACCTCGGTCAGACCTCACTCAAACCCCGGTTAACCTAGGTTAAACCGAGGTCAAACCGAGATCTAACCTAGGTTTGGC